ATCTTCTCTTGAAACGGGATCAAAGATCCGGCTTCAAAAGTAGATACCCCCTGCGGGGATTATTATTATTGTAATTATTATTATTATTATTATAATTAAGATTATTATTATTATATTATTGTTATTATTGCTATTATAATTATTATATCATAATTATGATTATTATTATATTATTATATAATTATTGTAATTATAATTATTGAATTATTATTATTTTTTTTTTTTTTCCCACGGCTTCGACTGATGATGTCATTTGCCGTATCCCTCCTCCACATATAGGACATGTCATTGTCACCCAGGGGTAGATCTGAGTGCATTTTATCACAGGTAATATCAATCATCAATAATATATTTAAAGTCTCAATATATTTAATAGGTGGGTTCTTTTCTCACTTTTCAAGTATCACACAGTGTGTGTCTTGGATACTGAATTATATGTTAAGTACTCATCGAGTAGAGAATAGTAGGTAACTGGCATGTACGTTTATTATGCATTATATGTCACATGGTTTTAGTTATTGGTTTATTTGTATAAGCTATTTTATGGAATATCTTATTCAGGGTTTAATAAGTGTATCATCTTACATGTTTATATTTTCAGGAAAACTTGTATTTCTCTTAAGAAGTTAAGGATGTTTATCATGCTACCGGCGTCATTGCCACAGAGCCCACGTTGTAGGCTGTTAATAATGTCAAACGATTGGCGGACTCTAGAATATGTTGGGCATTCCAAGAATATGTGGTCAATTGTTAGCTGAGTTTGGCAGTTTTCGCATTGCGGTGGATCCAGGCCGCGAATGAGATGCATGTGTGTTATGTTGCAATGGCCTATGCGTAATCGTGTAAGCGTCACCTCTTCTCTTCGTGGTAGTGATGGGAGGTGCCATTTTTTAACTGTAGGTTTGTATCTTTTGAGGGTAGTTTCGCATCCATTCCATCTCTCTTGCCATACAGACATCAACTTATTCTTCAGAAAATTTTTCAGGTCAGGTCTTCCGGGTGGACCAGGTTGTTGGCGTTGACAGTATCGGTTGCTGCTTCACGGGCCAATTCGTTAGCCCTTTCATTACCTGGAATCCCTACATGACCTGGAGACCATATAAAGATAACATATTTCCGATCTGATTCCAGTAAGACAAGCCAATGAAGTATTTCTTGAACCAATGGGTCAAAGGAATTTGTGGCAGATATAGATTGAATGGCACTAAAGGAATCGCTGCAGATTAGGTAAGTACCTGCTTCATTGTGGTTATTTATATATTCCAGTGCTTTAAGCAATGCAAGTTGCTCGGCTCTGAAAACCGAGGTCATGGGATGTAGTTTAAATTTTTGCTCGTGTCCCGTTGATGTATAGGCACATCCAACGCTATCAGCTAACTTTGATCCATCAGTATATATAATATTTTTAACGTTTGTGTAACTATTTACAGTGTCATTAAACAATGCAAGAAATAAGGAGCTATTGGTTTCATCCTTCTTGTACCGTGCACACTGCAAGTCCAATACAGGTTTGTTTATTGTCCATGGTGGCGTTGAGCTATGTTTTAGATTATAAACGTCAGGAAGTTCGAGGTCGATGCTATTCAAAATTTCTTGAATCCTTACACCTGAAGGTCGTGTTATGGTAGGTCTGTCCAGGAAGGTTTGGTTGATTGCTTGGTCGTATAGGATGTTGTAGTTGGGATGAGGTGGGTGTGACCAAATCTTTACACTATAATTCATAGTCAACTGCTGGAGCCTTATATCAAGAGGAGGAATACCTGAATCGCAGTATACCGCTGACGAGGGACTTGTTCGAAAAGCTCCGATACATAATCGCAGACATTGGTTATGTATCTGTTCCAAGTGTCGTAGATGAGATTTCCTTGCGGCTCCATAGATGATTAATCCATACTCGATTTTAGACAGAACAAGTGACCGATATAACGAGAGAAGGGTATCCCTGTCAGCACCCCAGTTTATGTTCGATATGCATTTCAAGATGTTCATAGACTTTTTGCATTTCACTATAGATTATTGACGTGTTCTTTCCAATACAGCTTTCTGTCGAAAGTTAGCCCCAAAAGCTTAACAGTATCATCGATCTGTATTGCGGTGTTTCTCAGTAGCAGGTGAGGATGATTGTGAGCAGTTCGTAGCCGACAAAAATGAATGGCGGTGGTTTTTGATGCTGAGAAGCGGAAACCAATACTTTGAGCTTCTGTAACTAGGCTGTTTATTGCTGCTTGGAGTTTAATCTCGATGTTCGACATATCTTTGTCCGAGTAGAAGATCGTGAGGTCGTCTACGTATAAACATTTTCCAATGTCTGGATCTATTGTACCTATAAGACGGTTTATAGCTATCAGGAATAGCGTTACGCTGATGGTGGAACCCTGAGGTATACCGTTCTCGAGAGTATGCGGCTGAGAGAGGTGTTTGCCGAGCCGGACTTTGAATGTTCGGTTTTCTAGGAACTTGGAAATGAATTTGAGCATATTACCTCGTATACCCCATTCATGTAAGGTGTTGAGTATTCCTCGTCTCCATGTTGTGTCATAAGCTTTTTCTAAGTCAAAGCAAACAGATACCAAATGTTTTTTTCGGCAAAGGATTGTTGAATAGCCGTGTCTATATGAGCCAATTGATCTAAAGTGGATCTAAACTTTCGGAAACCCATCTGGTAATCCGAAAGTAGACCGTTCGTTTCTAAAAACCAGACCAGTCTTCTATTAATCATCTTTTCGAGGAGTTTACTAATGCAACTAGTGAGTGATATGGGTCGGTAGTTGCTAGGGTTTTTAGGGTCCTTTCCAATTTTTGGAATAGCCACTATGATGGCTTCATGCCATTGCTCAGGGTATATGCCTTCACTCCAAATACGGTTGAATAGTTCCAGGAGTGTAAGCTGTTCGCTTTCAGGAAGATGCTTAAGCATGTCGTAGTGGATGTTGTCTGAACCAGTTGATGAAGAATTAACCTCGTTAAGAGCGTTTTGCAGTTCTAGCAATGTAAAAGGTACGTTGTATACCAATAACGAGTCATCAACTATTTCCAATATATTTTTTTCAGCCTTAGTCTTTTTAGCTACGAAGGCAAGATTATAGCTATCCGAACTGCTTGTCTCTTGGAATTGTGTAGCTAATATATTACAAATGTCTTCATAGTTTGTAATTTCTATATTGTTGACTAGCAGTATAGGGGATGGAGCTTGGAAATGCTTTCCTTGAATACTTCTGATTTTGTGCCAGACTTCCGATGGTGGTGTTTCTTTAGATATATGTGACACGTATTCTTGCCATGATGATTTTTTACTTTTTAAAATTATGCGACGAGCTTCCGCTCTTCTTTTCTTGAATTCAATTAAGTTGTTAGTAGAGAAGTTGCGTTTGAATTCTCTTAAGGCCTTATTTTTTTCTTTGACTGCTTTTCCAATCTTATCGTTCCACCATGGCACTTGCACATTTTTGATGTTACCACTTTTTTTGGGAATACTGAGGTTCGCTGCACTAACTATGGCAGATGTTATAGACTGCACCGAGTCGTGTATGTTATCCTTTAAAAGGAGTTCACCAATATTATTTTTGTAAGTATCCCAATTGGCTTTCTTGATGTTCCAGGTTGTATGGAATGTTCTTTCTGGACATTTTGAAGCAAAAGTGATATTTATTGGCACATGGTCGGAGTACAGATGTTCAGGCATAGTTTTCCATTCCAAGGATGATGCCAGACTTGGTGAGCAGATGGACAGATCGATACTACTAAAGCAGTTAGACCTGGAGTTGAGGTAAGTTCCATCTCCTGTATTTAAAATAATCAACTCTGATTCTTCGCAGATTCTTTCGATTATACGACCTCGAACATCAAGTTGTTGTGATCCCCATAGAGGATTGTGTGCATTAAAGTCGCCCACTATGATATATGGAGTAGGCAGTTGAGTAATTATGTTAATCTGCTCTTCATTCCAATTGAAATCTGGTAAGTATATATTACATATTGTTATTTTAAATGGAAAAAGCGATTGTGCTGCTACCGCCTGTAGTGGGGTTTGAATGTGTACCTCAGTTGCCTGTAATTCACTTTTTATGAAAATTGCCACGCCTCCTTTAGATCGGTTTGTCGGGATTACGTCTTTCCTGAAACAGTTGAAGCCCCGCAGGTTGAAGTTGGTTTCAGGAGAAAAATGAGTTTCCTGGATACATATGCAAAAGGGTGCCACTTCCGAGACTATCAATTTTAGTTCAGGGTAGTGTGCACAGCATCCGTTCATGTTCCATTGTATTAGTGAAGACATTATGACTAGTTTGTTAAAAGAAACAGTTCGTTAGTTTGTTGTGGAGCTCAAAAGGGGCATATATACGTATATATCGTGGAATAGATAAATAAATAAGCTAATAAATAAATGAATAAATATAAATAGCTTAATAAGTAAAATATATAAATAGTCTATAGAAAAAAAATATATAGTATATGTATAAATAAGATCAGATGTACTCACATATACACACATACATACATACACATACGAACGTAAATAATAATAAAATTTATGTAGAAAATATCACAGGTGGCTATATCTCAATGGTAAGGTCAGTAGTTTGACTGGCTTCAGTTTCTTGATCACTTCTTGCGAAGTTGGGAGGCCGCCTGGGTTTCCCTTTCGGCCAGCCTCTTTTCTTTTTAGTAGAAGTTGATGCTTCACTGATATGTGATGATACACTTTCATCGGTATCATCGTCCCTTGTTCGGGTTCTGGTACGCTTCCTTTTTTCGGCTACAGAAGGTTGCGTAGGTGTATCAGAAAAATATTGACCGGGAGGTAAGAAGGAATTAGTATTAAAATTATGCTTCTTGGTACTGATTATGTTATCCAGGGTTTCTTTTATTTTACTCTCAATAGACTTAGTTAATTGCGGTAATAACTCTTGTATTATATTATTAATTGACGTACTTGTGGTCGCCGCAATTTCGGAGTAGGATTTTTGAGGAATGGGCCTGATTACTTTTTTCTTTGCTTCTAGATAGCTCAGTTTTTCCATAGTCCTAACTTTTTGAATCGCTATTTCCTCCTTCATCTTAGGGCAAGCTCTTGAATTGGCTGCGTGTTCACCTTCACAATTAACGCAATGCATAGGTGTGTCGCAAGGTGTTGTATCATGTTTGGGTCGTCCGCATATACATATCTCAGAATTTGAGCATCTTTGCGAAGTATGCCCAAACCTCTGACATTTAAAACATCTTAGGGGGTTTGGGAAATAAGGACGCACTTCGAGAGAGTAAAAGGCAGCTTTAACTTTTGAGGGTAGTTTAGGTTTGTCGAAAGTCAATAATAAGTTAGGCGTTTCGACAAGCGAGTCACCTTGTTTACGCATCAAACGTTTAACTTCGACCACACCTTCTGGTTCTAAACCCTCCAATATTTCTTCGGTAGAACTGTTAAGAAAATCTGCACATGTGATTATACCCTTTGAGTAATTGAGTGTACTATGTGGTTTTATTTCAACAATGAATTCGCCTATTTTAGTCACTTTAAGGAGTCTAGACGCTTGATGAGCGGTAACAGTTTCCACTAATAATCCGGTCTTAATTTTCTTAATTGATTTCAATTCGCCAACAATTCCAAATAACAATTTCGACAGCAAGAAGGGGCTAACCTTATCGAAGTTGCCCCCATCGATTCTTTCGACCACCAGGAACCGGGGGAGTTTCCCTCCTTTCCCTGGCTGATCTTGGCCGCTGACGCGGTTGAAATCCCAGTTTTAGGGGTGTTTTGGGTTTTTGCGAGTGAATCCCGATCACTGCCCACTTTTAAGGTAGTGGGTGCACCTGAATCTTGTTTAGGCTGTTCCATAAGATTTTCCAAAAATTTCACCTTCCCGGCTCCCCACCCTCCACGGAGCCTCATTGGGAGGTTATGCCCATAATAGCATCCCGCTAAGGCACAACCCCAGGGATACCGCTAATCCGAAGGAAAGGAAGGTATAGTCCCCCCAGGTAGTTCCACCATACATCGAGAATAGCGAACTATTCCCGTCTGGCTTCTACTACCTGTGGAGGCTCGCCCAACCAGCCCTCTGACGGGATGGCACAGCCGATTGACCGACGCTGGGCTAGGCGCGGCCGCCCTTCTAGACTGACCGCCGGACCAAAGTGGCGTGTTGCCCCCCTGACTGGTAGGGCTCAACCACCAGGATTCCATTGGCCAGCTTACGGGTCGCCGGGCACGGCACAAACACCCGGGAGGCTAAGAGGAAGCTCCACGCGCCGCCTCAACGCATGGGGTAAGGATAGGAGAAGGAAAGTCGGGAGAGCAACAGACAGCTGCACAGGATATAATAAAAGGAGAAAGGATGGGAGAACGAGGGGGGGATAAGCCCAGGGTTTGGCAGAATGAATAAGACTGCCAAACCCCGAACTCCCTGCCTGGGGCCGTGGGGGCGACGCTCCCCATGTATCTTCCTTTGAAACCGGATCAAAGATCCAGCTCCAAAAGTAGATACCCCCTGCGGGGTATATTATTATTATTTTGATTATTATTATTATATTATTATAATTATTATTATAATTATTGTTATTATTATTTTATAATTGTATTATTAATATATAATTATTATATAATTGTATTATTATTATTATATTGTTATTGTTATTATTATAATTATTATTATTATACTATAATTATTATAATAATTATTATTATGTTATCATTATTATAATTATTATTACTATTATTCTTATTTTATTATTAATATTATAATTATTGTAATTATTATTATTCACTAAAGCCTCCTCTTTTTTTCTAGGCCGTGTTCCATCTACGGTACTACCTTGCGGCTTTATCCATCATAGATGGGGTCCCTTGTGCCGCCTTTATTGTGGCTTCAGCTACAATCGATTCTGCTTATTCCATTTTAGCCATCTAGGGAAGTTGTGACAGTTTCCTATTCTCCCCTTCTATCTGTTTCTTTCTGTTTCATTATGTTAGTAATAAAAGACTCAATGAGATTCCAGTTTTTATCTGATTTGAGCAATAGTGGAACCATGGTATTTGCTGCTATCGCTGAGTTAACAGTCTGCGCAAGAGTTCGTCTCTGCTGTGCCCATTTTTCGCATACGAAGAGCGTATGGTTTGCGTCATCCACAGAAGCATCACAGTATCTACACCCTTCGTCTTCGTGCAGTCTAAATCTTTTCAGGTAAGCGTTAAAGCAGCCGTGCCCCGATAACGCTTGCGCCAAGTAAAAACCGACCTCTCCGTGGCTCCTCTCGACCCACTTGGTAATTTTTAGTATTAATTTGTACGTCCACCTGCCGACAGAGTCCTCGCGCCATCGCCTCTGCCAGTTCTCCATCAGTAAGTATCTTGCCTCATTTATTATTATTATTGTGATTATTATTATAATTATTGTAATTATAACTATTACAATTATTATTATAATTATTATTATTATTAGATTATTATTATTATGAATTATTATTATAATTATTGTAATTATAATTATTATCATTATTATTATTATTAATTATTATTAATTATATTATGATTATTAAATTATTATTATTATAATTATTATGATTATTATTATTATAATTATTGTAATATTATTATTATTATGATTATAATTATTATAATTATTATGATTATTATTATTATTATAATATTATTATTATCATTATTAATTATTATTATTATAAGTATTGTAATATATTATTATTATATTATTAATGATTATTATTATTATTATAATTATTGTAATTATTACTACTATAATAATAATTATTATTATATTATTATAATTATTATAATTATTATTCTTATAATTATTGTAATTATTATTATTATTATTATTATATTATTATTATTACTATTATTATAATGCATATTATAATTATTATAATTATATTATAATTATTGTAATTATTATTTATGATTATTATTATTATAATTATTGTAATTATAACTATTACAATTATTATAATTATTAATTATTATTATTATTAGATTATTATTATTATTAGTTATTGTAATTATTACTATAATATAATCATTATTATCCCGTTTTCTGTTAGCTATTCTCTGCTACTGCAGGTGGTATCCTCAAACGCGGCATTATACTGCAAGCGTCTGAGTGTGACTATTGGTTTCTCTTTGTCTATGTGGCTACATTCAGGACCTTGCGTACTATATGACAACTACCTAAGATAGCAGCTTTCTGAAGTGAGAGGTATAGTTTCTGTGGCAGATTTAGTTTCTCAATATATTTATGTAGACTCTTAGGTATTTCTCCTGTGGCTCCGATCACTATTGGGATGACTTCAACTTTTTCTTGATTCCACAGTGTTTTTACTTCTGCAGCTAGTGGTAAGTACTTGCGAACCTTTTCTGTCTGCTTGTCAGCTATGTTATGTGGGGCAGGCACACTAATGTCAATTATGCAGGTAACTTGCTTCATTTTATCTTGAACTACGATATCTGGTTTGTTGTATTCCATGGTGTGATCTGTTTGAATTGTTCTATTCCAGTATATTTTATGGCTGTTAGTTTTCTATAACTGGAGTCGGCTGGTACTTGTAATATGGGGTGCGGTCAGTTAGTATATTCGCAGCATAACAAATATCTTGGTGAACTATTTTAGCCACGTTGTCGTGCCGCTTCAGATACTCAGTGGAAGCTAGGGGAGTGCAGCTCGTCAGGATATGCTCTATTGTTTCCGACTTGTTATGGCATATGCGACATCTATCTTCAATGCCTTCTTCTTTCATGATGTATTTTCTATAGTTTAAGGTTGGTGATCACCTGATCTTGAATGCCAATCATGAAACCTTCAGTTTCCGAAAATAGCTCCCCACTCTTCAGCCATCCATGTGACGCTTCTGCTCATCAATGTGATCTGAGCTGAGCATGGTTGGATGTCTTCCATGAAGCTGTTTGGACTTCCATTGATGATACCATTGTTCGTCGGTGGTCACATGAGTTAGAGGTTCATACTGTTCATCCGACAGGTTCAGTGGTGTGAACTTGTAGTCAGCTGAAGCTATATTTCTGTGATATGCAGATGTTTCGCCCTTTCTATAAAAGAATCTCCTGAGGTTTTCTATATTCCGCAGGTTAGCTGCTTTAAGGTCAATCACGCCTCGCCCCCCTTTGGATCTTGGCAAGTAGAATCTTTCGATCGAACTCTTGGGATGTCTTGTTCTATGATTTGTAAATAAGACTCTTATGTTTCTGTTTAGCTGCTCTAAGTCAGAGTCTGTCCACTTGATTATTCCGAAGCTATATGTTATTGTCGGAATAGCATATGTGTTAATGGCCCTTACTTTGTGTATTGCGGACAGATGAGTCTTAAGTATTGATTTGACCCTACTCGTTAATCTTTGCTTTAGAGCTTCTTTCATATCTTTGTGTTTGATACCCTTGCTTGATCTAGTCCCAAATATGTATAGCTCTCTTCTCAGACATGCTTCTTATTGTCTGACCCTGCTCCCATAAACCCTGGGTGATCTTCCCATATGCCTTTTCTAATAGCCCCAATCTTACACTTGTCCAGGCCAAACTCCCATTCTTGTGTCAGCACTGTATTTCTTTATGGTTTTAAGCAACCTGTCCAGTCCATCCTTAGTGGCAGATATTAGTTTGATGTCATCCATGTAAGCTAGATGGCTTATTTGTAGGTTGTTCTGAAGCTTATAACCTTCGTTCTTCTTGTGCAGCATTCTAGATAGAGGTGCTAATACAATACAGTACCATAAAGCACTTAGTGCATCTCCCTGGAAGATACCTCTTTTAATGCTGATGGCACCGATGTTGATATTTTCTTCTTTATGGGTTATTACAAGATTAGTTTTCCATTGAGGCATAAGGTTTTGCAGCAATCTCACTATACTAGGGCTGATTTTATATATTTGGAGCATTTCAATTAATGAGAGTGAGGAAACTGTCAAAGGCCTTTTTATAGTCAATGTATGCAAACAACAGATCTTTCTTACAGCCCTTTGCTTCCTCCGTGATGATTGTATCTATTGTAAGTTGCTCTTTGCAGCCACGACTTCCCTTTTTGCAGCCTTTCTGTTCTTCTGGGAGCAGATGATGCCT